TCTCACCCTTCCCTCTCTCAGGGCAATATCTGTACACTGACAGTGTCCCTCAGTCCCTTAGAATTCAGGGTCTTATCTATTGGTATTTCTCAGTAACCGGTCTCTTGGGGAGATATCTGTGCACTTATTGCTGTTGTCATTCAGTCCTTTCTCCTTCAGGGTAATATCTGTACACCGACTGGTGTCTCTCAGTCTTCTCTTTCTCTCTCAGGGAGATATCTCCGGTCTGATACAATTTTAACCCCACTGTGAAGCCTCTTCTAAGGATGCCTACCCTGAAGAAGTTACCCTCCTCCCTCCAGAATCCGCCTCCCCCTCTCTCCCTATTTATTTCAGAACCCCCTTCCCCTCCCCCATTTCTGATGAAGGGTCTAGGCCCGAAACGTCAGCCTTCCTGCTCTTATGATGCTGCTTGGCCTGCTGTGTTCATCCAGCTCTACACCTTGTTACCTCAGATTTTCCAGCATCTGCAGTTCCTACTATATCTGTACACTGACCAGTGTCTCTCAGTGCCCCCTCTCTCTCTCAGGGAAATATCTGGACACCGACTGGCGTCTCTCAATTCCTCTCTCGCCTCGGGACTTATCTGGGCACTGATTAGTGTCTATCAATCCCCTCTGAGCATCAGGCGTCTTGCAATGGTCCTCACAGGCCCTCCAAATCACCACTTTATACAAATTCCTCTCTTACTTTCTGAGTACAGAGATCTCACAGAGCCATCAGTAATGAGATTAAGAAGCGACCAAGGTGACTCACAATCAGAATCGTCATGGTCATCCACCTCTTCACGAGCTATAAGTTCCCGGGCCCGCTGGATATTTTGCCCTTCATCATAAATCTGCTTCCGTTTCATCTCAAACTGGCGTCTTTTCTCTGTGGAGTAGAGAGGAAAGGTGTGACAGGGAATAAAACACACAGCCTGAATCTGAGAAACAGAGATACTCTAATGCCCTATTTCAATTTATTGCTTTCAGTTTTGCTGAGTGACTATCAATAACAGGCAGATTTCTAATTTCCTCGCCAAACTCTCCCAGGACAGGGACAGCACGGGGTTAGATACAGAGTAAAACTCCCTCAACACTGTCCCCCCCATCAAACATTCCCAGGACTGGGACAGCATGTGTTAGATACAGAGTAAAGCTCCCTCTTCACTGTTCTCATCAAATACTTCCATGACACGTATAGTACTGGGTTAGATACAAAGTAAAACTCCATTTTATGTTCTTCCCATTAGTCCTGGGACAGGGATAGCATAGGATGAGACACAGAGTAAAGTTCCCTTTATACTGTCCCAATCAAAAACTCCCCACACAGGGACAGCACGGGGTTAGATAGAGTGTAAAGCTGCCTCTACACTGTCACCATCACATACTCCCAGGAAAGGGACAGCACAGGGTTAGATATAGTGTAAAGCTTCCTCTGCACTGTCAGACTCCCAGGACAGCAAGGGGTTGTCTCTCAATGCCTTTAGAGAGGTGGAAATTGCAGTGGGTGTCGAGCTTTATCTCCCCATCTAACTCTATTTTCATTTAGTCCTTTCCTCTGTCCTGATGTCTCTCTCATCTTTGATGGTCTTTAACAGGCTTTGCATGTAAACTAATCAATTAGAAAACGTGGGTGATTTAGTGGTGGTGATTTAGAATGAAAAATGCCACGGGTGAATTTCGGTGAACGGAAAACCTGTTTGGTTTAAGTGTCTTAGCACTTCCAGACATGAAAAAGGGCTAATTTTCCTCACTGCAGGGGGCTGAGTGCCTTATCATTGCTTCATTTTGATTTAGCCTCATCCCGCTTTCCCTACCTCTCAGAGAGTCATACAGCTCGCAAACAGACCCTTCTGTCCAACCATTCGATGCCGACCACAAGCCCAACTAAACTAGTCCCGCCTGCCTGTGCTTGGCCCATATCCCTCCAAATATTTTTGTATTCATGTATTCATTCAAAATCCTTAAACTCGCATCCACCACTTCCTCTGGAAGTTCACTCCACACACACACATAAAAAGTTGCCCTCATGTCTTTTTTAAATCTTTCTCCTCTCATCTTAAGTATATGCCCCTAGTCTTGAAATCCCCCACCCTGGGGAACAGACATGTGCCATTCACCTCTTCTATCCCCCTCATAATTTTATAATCCTCTATAAGGTCACCCCTCAACCTCCCTACACTCCAATTAAAAAAGTCCCAGCCTATCCAGCCTCTCCTTATAACTCAAACCCTCCGTTCCCAGCAACATCCTGGTAAATATTTTCTGAACCCTCTCCAGTTTAATAATATCCTTCCTATAACAGGGCAACCAGAACTGGTACTTCAGAAGAGGCCTCACCAATGCCCTGTACAACCTCATCATGACGTCCCAACTCCTATACGCAAAGGTCTGAGCAATGAAGGCAAGTGTGCTAAACACCTTCTTATCACCCTGTCTACTGTGATGTAAACTTCAAAGAATTATGTACCTGAACCCCTAGGTCTCTGTTCTACAACACTACCCAGGACCCTACCAGTAATTGTATAAGTTCTGCCCCTGTTTGTTTTACTAAAATGCAATGCCTCGCATTTATCCAAATTAAACTCCATCTGCCACTCCTTGGCGCATTGACCCAATTGGTCAAGATCTCTTTGTAATCTCAGATAACCTTCTTCACTGTCCACTATACCACCAAATTTGGTGCCATCTGCAAACATATGAACCATGCCTTCTATATTTTCATCTAAATAATTTATATAAATCACAAACAAAAGTGGACCCAGCACCAACGCCTGTGGAACACCACAGGTAACAGGCCTCTAGTCTGAAAACCAACCCTCCACCACCAGTCTCAGTTTCCTGCTGTTAAGCCAATTTTGAATCCAATTGGCAAGCTCACCCTAAATCCCATATGACCTAACTTTACTAATTAGTCTACCGTGTGGACCCTCGTCAAAGGCTTTACTAAAGTCCAAGTAAACAATGTCTACCGCTCTGCCCTCGTCAATCTGCTTGGTTACTTTCTCAAAAAAACTTAATCAAGTTTGTGAGACACAATCTCCCCTGTACAAAACCATGCTAACTAACCCTAATCATTCCTTGCCTCTCCAAGTGCATGTAAATCCTATCTTTCAGAATCACTTCCAACAACTTACCCACCACCAAAGTCAGACTCGCAGGTCTATAGTTCCCAGGCTTCTCCTTACATCCCTTTTTAAATGAAAGCACAACATTAGCCACTGTCCAGTCATCTGGCACCTCACCTGCAGTTACAGATGATACAAATATTTCTGCAAGGTGCCTTGCAATTTCCTCCCTAACTTCCCACAAAGTCCTGGAATACGCGAGATCACATCCCACAGATTTATCCACATGTATATTTTCTAGTACTTCCTCTACTGTAATGTGAGCTGTTTTCAAAATGTCAATATTTATTTCCCTGAATTGTCTTGCCTTTCTGCACAGTTAAAGCTGACATGTAATATTCATTTAATATCTCTCCCATCTCCTGAGGCTCAATACAAAGGGCAGCGCGGTGGCTCAGTGGTTAGCACTGAAGCCTCACAGCACCAGGGACCTGGGTTCAATTCTACCCTCGGGCGCCTGTCTGTGTGGAGTTTGCGCATTGTCCCCATGTCTGCGTGGGTTTCCTCCGGGTGCTCCAGTTTCCTTCCACAGTCCAAAGATGTGCAGGTTAGGTGGATTGGCCATGTCATTGGAATTCAGAAGATTGAGGGGGGATCTTATAGAAACATATAAAATTATGAAGGGAATAGATAAGATAGAAGTAGAGAGGATGTTTCCACTGGCAGGTGAAGCTAGGACAAGAGGGCACAGCCTCAAGATTAGAGGGAGCAGATTTAGGACTGAATTGAGAAGGAATTTCTTCACCCAGAGGGTTGTTAATCTATGGAATTCCTTGCCCAGTGAAGTAGTTGACGCTACTTCAGTAAACATTTTTTAAAAAAAGGTAGATTTTTTTTGAACAATAAAGGAATTAAGGGATACGGTGAGAACGCGGGTAAGTGGATCTGAGTCCACGAAAAGATCAGCCATGATCTTACTGAATGGCGGAGCAGGCTCGAAGGGCCGGACGGCCTACTCCTGCTCCGAGTTCTTGTGTTCTTATGTAAATTGTCCCTTAGTGTCAAGGACTGTGTAAGTTAGGTGGCTTGGAATTTGGAAATGAAGGGTTGGGGGATGGGTCTGGGTGGGAGGGGTGGTGTGGACTTGTTGGACCGAATGGCCTGTTTCCACACTGTAGGAATTCTGTGATTCCATGGAAGACGACCTCTTTGATCTTTAAGGGGCCCTACTCTCTCTAGTTCTCTTGCTCTTATTGTGCTGGTAGAATCTCTTTGGAATGTCCTTAACCTTATCTGTGCCCCCACCTTTGATGGGATGCATTACCCTTGCCAGGTATTACATGTAATTTGATTAATTGGAAACACAGATGATTTAGTGCTATCGGTTCATAGGTGAAAACTACACAGGGGGTGTTTGGTGATGGGATAAAGGCTGTTCAGTTGTGGGTAAGAGCATTCCCAGATATGTAAAAAGGGCCAGTTTTCCTCAGTAAGGGATGTTCAGAAAGGTGACAGACAGCAGACTGGAGTTTGTATTGAACCATGGAATACAAATCAACAGACGTGGAAGGCGAATGGACTCCTGCTTCCTGCTGACTAATGGGTATAACAGTCGGATCTGGAAGGTGTCTACATGCTGAACCCAATAAATCTTTACCTGTGGATTATCAGCCCTCAGTCAGCAGGACTGACAATGCAAGTTCAAGCCTACCCACTAATGAACCTGCAACCTCATTACCGTATTTAATACAATAACCACTTCCATTTATATTTCCTAATCAATCTCATCAAAGATGTTATGAAGCTCCTCTGGAGGAGGTGGGACTTGGTTTCGGACCTCCTGGCTTAGAGGTAGGATCACTACCGCTGCACCACTAGCGACCTTTGACCAATCCCCTTGTTCTGTTCGGAAACAGAACTCCCACCCAATCTAACAAGAGGGGGGAGGCGGATGGAAGATGGATAAAGGAGAAGATGGGTGGAGAGGAGACAGACAGGTCAAAGAGGCGGGAGTGGAGCCAGTAAAGGTGAGTGTAGGTGGGGAGTTAGGGAGGAGATAGGTCAGTCCAGGGAGGACGGACAGGACAAGGGGGCGGGATAAGGTTAGTAGGTAGGAGATGGGGGTGCGGCTTGAGGTGGGAGGAATGGATAGGTGGGAGGGAGGACAGGCTTCAAAATCTCCCCTCCCCCGACCGCATCCCAAAACTAGCCCAGCTCGTCCCGCCTCCCTAACCTGTCCTTCCTCCCACCTATCCCTTCCTCTCACCTCAAGCCGCACCCCCATCTCCTACCTACTAACCCCTTGACCTGTCCGTCCTCCCTGGACTGACCTATCTCCTCCCTAACTCCCCACCTACACTTACCTTTACTGGCTCCATCCCCGCCTCTTTGACCTGTCTATCTCCTCTCCACCTATCTTCTCCTTTATCCATCTTCTATCCGCCTCCCCCGCTCTCCCTATTTATTTCAGAATCCCTTTCCCCTCCCCCATCTCTGAAGAAAGGTCCAGATCCGAAATGTCAGCCTCCCTGCTCCTCTGATGCGCTTGGCCTGCTGTGTTCATCCAGCTCCATACCTTGTTATCTCAGACTCCAGCATTGGCAGTTCCTACTATCTCTCCCACCCAACCTAAACCTTTTTCATTTGCTTACGATTTTGCTCATGAGTTTGAATTTTGACCTTTCATCGAAAGTGGTGCAAGTTCTTAACTAGAGTTGCGTTTTTAGCAAACGTGTGTTTGAAGCCTGGGGAGGGGGAGCGAGATTGGTGACCTAGATAAGATCTCTGATAGGGAGAAAATGACAAAGGGGAAGTAACATCAATTCAATCTGAGATAACAAGGTATAGAGCTGGATGAACACAGCAGGCCAAGCAGCAGCATAGGAGCAGAAAGGCTGACGTTTCGGGCCTAGACCCTTCATCAGAAATGCCTGAAACGTCAGCCTTTCTGCTCCTATGATGCTGCTTGGCCTGCTGTGT